CTGGTGCTGGAGTGCCTCGAGCTGGAGGGGGTGCTGAAGATGTAGCAGTTGCAGAACTGGATGGCTGTGTTGTGCCCCTGCCGGTACCCTAGAGGGATGAACAACACTCCCTCTGAATATGACCCCTCAATCCGCATATGTAACATATAGGTAAGTCCATGTAGCAGATCCCCTAGTGCATCTTCCCACACCTGGGGAATGGAGGCCTTCGCTGCTGCGGGAATCTCCCTCCTGATCGTCCCTGCTGGTGTGGTCCCCTGCTGCCCTAATTGGGCTTGAAACGACTCCCCTGCTGCTGACTAGGCCCTGCTAGTGGTGCACTGGCTGAAGACTGAGCAAAAGACTGGGATGGCCCTGATACCCTCCCCAGAAAGCTGATCTTCCCCTACCAAATGACTCCCCAAAGTTGCCCGCGGACCGGGCCTTGCTGGTACCCTCTCGTTCCCTTATGTTCTTCAACTTACGGTCCTCTATAGATTGAGCAAATGCTATAATTTTCCCATAATTCATATCTGAATTCAAGGCAGCTGTAGCGGCCTCATTGATAACCAATGGGCCAAGGCCCTGCACACTCTAGCCTCCATAGTAGGCAACATAAGAATGGCATATTTAGACAGACGCACGAACTCCATGTGATACTCCCAAACACTCTTACTCCCTTGCTTAAGATTCTCAAACTCTGCGGCATGGGCTGCCCTAGTCTCGGCAGGCAAGAAATGGTCTATAAAGGCATCAACAAACTTACTCCATCTCGCTGGAGGGCTCCCCTCCTCCCGAGAGTCCTCCCATAGCTCAAACCAAGAATAGGCCACCCCTTCCAGGTGGTAGGTAGCCAACTCCACTCCCCCCGTCTCAGTAGCGCGCATAGCCCGGAGAGTCTTATGCATCTCATCAATGAAGTCCTGTGGATCCTCCTTGGGATTAGCACCCGTGAACACCAGAGGATCCAACTGCAGAAACTTGTTCACCCTAGAACTAGTAGAATCCCCTTGTGAGCTAGAAGATATGGGTGAAACATTCGACCTTTGGGCCTGAGAAGCCACTATCTGAGTCAGCATCTGAATAGTTCCCTAAGATCCCCATCAGAAATACCAGAGCCGAAAGCTGGGACTGGAGGTGGAATTGGAATATCAGGTGGAGGAACCGTCGCACTCTCAGTAGGTGTAGGAACTGGTGTGGCCTGGTCCAGTGTAGTGGAATTAGGTAGTGTAGCAGTCGGGGGATTATCCTCACCCCTCGGGTGTTCACCCGCATCATCAAATAAAGGATCAACTTCCACTCCTAATGCGGCGTTGGCTCCTTGGCTAGTTCTTGCTCTCTTCCTAGGTGCCATATACTGAAAGTTAAAGGAATGCACGAGTTAGAGGAGGAACAATTGCATATTTAGTTTCATCGCACGATCCAGAATATCAAATAAGGGTATTGTTCCTAAATGTTCAAGTAGCCTCCAACTTAAAGATGTGGTCGACAACACACCGATAAGAAGGACTCTACCAGACACGCCTCCGAGACATCCTAGGACACTTTAAAACCTGAGGCTCTAATACCAAGTTTGTCACACCCCATCCTCGGGAGGCGCGACCGGCGCTCAACCGAGTGAACCCGGTCGAGCAAGCTTGTTAGATACTTTCTACCCAACTCACCCATGATCAAGAAAAGACATGATTTCATTAATTAGACGGAAGGAAGTCCATACATACAACATTAAACTGTTTCCTTAGCTATTTCGCCTTTAAGTCTCAAAATACACAAATTCTTATAGTCTGAGTGGAACAAGTGATCAAACACAATATATACTTGTTTAACATTCCCAACACCCATATACAACCCACATAATGTCTACGGAGCCTCTAAAGATACAAAAGAGAGTAAAGATGGTGCCGACAATAAGGCCCCAGCTATACCACAAAAAGTGACCACAATATAAACAAAAGGTATAATACTTGACCACGGAGTGAAATGGGGCTCACTGAGTCCGTTGAGAAGAGGAGGCAACACTATCTGTGATCAACATTGTCTGCTATGAAACCACATGCATCCATTTGAAGATGCAGCGCCCCGACAAAAGGGACGTTAGTACCGTCGAATAGCACTAGTATGTCAAGCTAAACACCATCTCAATATAATGAATAATAATACAAAAGGAACAGTCAAAAATTCAATAAGAGCTTCAAATAATATTAAAACATCAATTTAAAGATCACATAAGTTTTCGAGTCAATTTTCACGTTGTTAGGTTGGGTGATCTTTAGTACCGATGTTTCACAATTCACAATACCTCTGCATTCTTACACAGAGTCCGATCTCGACCCGATCGGCTAGGTCGTCTCATTTGAGACATTACCACAATTTCATTATAATTTCCAGCACAGTACCACCATGTGTGCGGCATGGTGTCCGATCACGGCCCGATAGGCTAGGCCATCTCATTTGAGACATCAACCATTTTCACAATTTCATCCATAATAGCACCGTGTTCTTACACGGAGTCCGATCTCGGCCCGATCGGCTAGGCTATCTCATTCCTTTTATAGTCAATCATCTCACATCGTACTTCTTTCATATACTTTCAATTCATTGGCATTAGTGATTACGATTACAAAGTCATTCTCGGCACTTTGCCGTATTTCATAGTTCCAGTCCTTTTTTTTTCACATTCAAACATAATTATCATTATCCACAACAATAAGGCTTCCCATTCAAGACATTAGATTCATATATGAGCAATTTGGGAATCTTAGGCACACAGAGGCTTTTTATACAATTTGATATAACAACTTTTATTTCGATCTTGACATGAAGTCTTAACATTCCTAACACATATTCCAAATTTTGAACATATTCTCAAATGGCAAGATGATATGATGAAACATTTAGAATAAACATTGAACAAACATCCTTCAACACAACCACATTAGGAATAGGCAATTCAATAATGATCAAGGACTTACTCCAATTACATGAACACCATGGGATTTGATTCTAAGAAGAATGGGGTTTAGCCAACATACCTCTATTTACTATACGTAAAATATACATTTTACTAAGAAATGTTAAACACCGTTAATTTTTATTTGCAATGATTTTTATTTAGATAACTTCAAATGTTATATAGATTTTTTATTATATATACATAAAATAAAAATAAATATTATGTTTACTATACGCTGACTCCCATAAAATAAAAAAATCTAATAAATATATATTATGTATATTTATATTACTAATAAAATTTATTTTTCTCTCAGCAGTGATTTTACGTATATTTATTTTATGTCAACGTATAGTAAATATTATGTATATAATAAAAAACTCTAGATAACATTTGAGGTTATCTAGATAAAAATCATTGCAAATAAAAATTAACGGTGTTTAACATTTCTTAGTAAAATGTATATTTTACGTATAGTAAATAGATAAATAGTAAATAAATTATATGTATATTTACTATTTGCTATCCAGATAAAGGGAACATATATTTTGTCAGATCTTAGATTTCTGTTAAAAATTAAAATGTGTTTAGTGTTATGACTAAAAGTGCACCATATTGTTAAAGTAAATGGACTATTAGTATTTCAAGTGGAAGAATATGTATGACTTTGAATCTAAAGCCGAAGATAATGTATGTTTTTGGGATTTTTTTCAGTGTTATGACTAAAAGTGCATCACTTTGTTAAAGTAAATGTACTATTAGTCCTTCATGTGAAAGAATATGTATAACTTTGATTCTAAATCCAAAGATGATGTATTGTTCTGGTCTTTTCCTCGGTCAAACACCTTCAAAATATATTGATTGACAATTTCAATTTGAACACCAATTGTGCAACATTACTGGAGTTTGAACACCAATTGTGCAACACCTTCAGCTCTACATTACTGGAATTAAGGATTGAGAGATAGAGAGAGACGTGTAGAGAGAGAGAGAGAGAGAGAGAGAGCGCATGAGAGAGAGGGACGGAGAGAGAGCGCAAGAGGGAGAGAGAATAAGGATGAGAAATAATTAATTCCTACTATAAAGGGATACGCATTTAATTCCTAAAGTGTATATAATTGATAAATTGTATATAGGATGTAATTAAATTGAAACTTGAGTAGGGAGGGTAATAAAGTTTCAAATAGTGTATAGGAATGTAAAAATTCCTAGATTTATTCCCAAACAACAAAGCCCATCAAAGAATTCTTATATGCATAAATCGTGAAAACATTGGACCGATTCGACGGGTTTGGACCAATTTCGTCACTCCTACTAACTACACCCTCTGTTTGAATTGAGATGTGGTAGTTTGACTTGGCACAAAGTTTAAAAAAGAAAAAAGACCTTTGAAACATGTGGTCTTAAAAACTTAGGGAGTAAAAGTTTTGTGGAGCCATAATATTTGTGTGGCTATAAAAGCTTCTCATTAAGGGTAAAGTGAGTAAAATGAAAAGTTCAAAGTTAATTTATTTTTAAATATAGAAATGCGTTATTTTTTTAGAACAGACTAATAAGAAAAGTGTATAATTTAAATTAAAACAGAGGGAGTATCAACTTAGCAAGCCTAAGCTTCAATAAGGCCCAGGATAAAGAGGTAGCAATTGAATTGATAGTAGGGTTTTATAGCCTGTTTGGCAAATGTTTTTTAGCCAAAAATACTTTTTTTTAGCTAAAAGTATTTTTTTTCTAAAGTTAAGATATTTGGCCAAGCTTTTAGAATAAATTTTTTTTTGAGTAAAAGTAAAATCGGTTTTTGAGAAGCAAAAAAAAAAAATAGCTTATTCCTAAAAGTATTTTTTTGAAAAGCACTTTTGAGAAAAATAGACTTAGAAATAATTTTATAAAGCTTAGCCAAAGATTATTACTGCTCAAAAGTATTTTTCAAATTGATTAGTCAAATACAAGTTGATTATCACCAAAAGAATTAAAAAAACACTTTTCAAACTAAGTTTGAATTTAGAAGCTTGGCCAAACCGGCTATTAGTATAAGCCCACAAATGAGAAACGCAAAGCCAAGCCCAAACATGAATTAGGCCCAGAATTGGGAGGCAGCAGAAGTTCTAAAAGTAGGGTTTTGGAGGTCTTCTTGTTTGTTTACCTACAAAGTGAAAGAGAAGTGGTGTAGTCTGCCTCTTCGCGGCTAAGCTCTCAGCAACCATGGGTATGCTTCTCAACTTCTCCATTTCCTCTCTCTTCTTCTTTCTTCTCTTTCCGTTTCCCTTTAACAATCCATTTCTGCAGATTCATTTTATGTTCTCTTGTGTAATTATATGGAAAAAAAGAGAGTTTATTAATTACATATCATGTTCTTTTTTACGGATGTAAGGTATCTCACGAGATTCTATGCACAAGAGGCGTGCCACTGGTGGCAAGAAAAAAGCTTGGAGGAAGAAGCGAAAGTAAGCTTTCGTCTTTCATTAGGATACACCCTTTTGCCTGTTGTCTTTGCTGTAATCATTTCTACTATATCTGGTGATATGTGTCTGTCTCTATCTTCTTATTGTACTGAGCATTTCCCTTTTACCACTGAAATGGGATGATGATGCTCGATTCTGTTATAAAACTTGTAGCCTTTTGGGCTCTAAAAATTGTTAATTTAGCGTTATGGTTAAAGGAACTTCTGATTTAGCTTTTAGTAGTTGCTGTGATTGGAAAATCAGATTTGTTTCTTATGACTGGTGACTGGACCAGCTTGTGCATACCTCGATTGATCCATCTTTTTTTTCAGTTTTAGTTTATAGGGTAGAATATGTTTTAGCTAGTAAGTGTATGTTCATGGCATGATTTGGCTTGAGTATGAATTGATAGAAGTATAAGCAGCCCAGTGAATGTCATTGTACGAGGCCTAGAATTAGGGTATCCCTTTCAAATGTCCACCTTCAAACTGACAAGTATATTTCTTTGGAGACAAGTAGCCTATAACGAGAAGGAATTCGGAAATATGATTCAGAGTAATTATAGCTGAAGCAGTTCTTTTCAAAATTGTTAGTAACCTTGTCGTGATCCACGATTATGCTTTCTACAAAGCTTAGTAGGGTAGAAGGTATCTCAAATCTTTTCACTGGAGAGCCGAACCAGGGATAGGTTAGGGGCCTTGAAAAAAGGGAAAGTGATTTCTTCATGGTTTTCCAATCTGGGAATCCTGTGTTCTACTATTCATGAAGGAGCTGTTGCATGATAAATCTGTGTCTGTTTCTCTGTTCTGGTAAAAGATCAGTTTTCAAAAAGATTTACTGATTTTATTTATATGTGAGATATTTATGCATCTGGAAAAGAAAAGCTAAACCATCTTATTTATAAGTGGACAGGATTTAATCACCTTAGATATTTGTAACAGAATGATTAACATTTTGTGAATCTTTATTATATGATCAACTATAATTAGTTCCCAGAGACTACAAATCTAACTACTACAATATTAAAAGATTTATTCCAGGATGTTTCAATTGATTTGATCTAGTGGAATGGAAGTAAATCAGTTCTAGCCATTTAGTTTGAAATATAACGCAATTGAGTAAACCAACACGGCAAAATATGAGCACATAGTCCTTAGCTAAAAATGATAGTTAGTAAAGTCATCTTCCCCTTTACCTGCAGAACAATGTGTTAGACCGATCTTTTATCATTACAATATGATAAGAGAAACTATAATGTAAATCATTGTTTTTTGGCTGCATTCCTGACTTTGAATTCTGATGATTTCAATTTATTGAAGGTATGAACTTGGCCGCCAGCCTGCTAATACTAAGATCTCGGCTAACAAGACAGTCCGACGAATTCGTGTGCGTGGTGGCAATGTGAAGTGGAGGGCGCTAAGATTGGATACAGGAAATTACTCATGGGGTAGTGAGGCAGTCACACGCAAGACTCGTATCCTTGATGTGGTCTACAATGCCTCAAACAATGAACTTGTTCGCACACAAACTCTGGTCAAGAGTGCTATTGTTCAAGTTGATGCTGCACCCTTTAAACAATGGTACCTCCAGCATTATGGTGTTGACATTGGTAGGAAGAAGAAGGGGCCTGCTAAGAAGGAAACTACTGAGGAAGGAGAAGGTGCTGCTGCCGCTGCAGAGGAAACTAAGAAGAGCAACCATGTTCTCAGGAAGATTGAGACGCGCCAGAAGGATCGTAAACTTGATCCTCATATTGAAGAGCAATTTGGCGGTGGTAGGCTGTTGGCCTGTATCTCTTCCCGCCCTGGTCAATGTGGCAGAGCAGATGGGTAAGCTTTAAGCTCAGTACATTCCTTCCCATGTCATGAAAATAGTTTCAGTATTTTTGATTTGCTGATGTGTTTTAACTGAAAATTCCATAGGTACATTTTGGAGGGAAAAGAGCTTGAGTTCTACATGAAGAAACTACAGAAGAAGAAAGGCAAGGCTGGAGCTGGCGGTGCTGCTTAACTGTTGCGACCAGAATTTTCAGACTAGTTTCATTTTCTTCTCTTTTGCTGTAATTCCAATTTTGGGGATATGTGATTTTGTATGCAGTACCTTTTATATTTTATCTTGTACTCTACCAGAGTTTAGTATGATGTCTTAAGACCTTGTTAATCATTATCAGCTTTCCATCACCGGTTCCAGTTTATCTTGAAAGTTGTTTGATTTAAGAGAATGATATTCACAGCCAGTTTTGTCTGATACATTGATTCCTGCTCTGCTAATTAATTGACTGCTTAAGATCTAGTGTGAGCACTATGTGATTTAGCACCAAAATGGGTAAAGGGAGAGCAGAAAATGGGCAGGATGACAGCGGAATAAGAAAGAAATCATGCGCTAACAAGAGGATCACTCGCTATTCTTAGCATCTAAGATGTTGAATAACGGGACAAAGACATCTAGATATTGAATTAAGGGACAATGGAAGGGTGTGCTAATTTGAGGGAAGTTAAAGGGAGGCGGTACTAATTTTGGGGGAAGCATAAATAAAGGTAATTCTAAGCATTCAGGTCCTGTGCGTGATTTAGGTAGTAGTGTTGGCCTCCGCCGCTGTTTTTGGAATTCAACTAGTCATATGAATTTTGGTTGCTCTAATAATAATACGTCGCAACTACGTGTTGAAGACCTACAGAAACATGTTTGGAAGAGAAAACTAACTGGATATGAAGAGATAAAGGAACAGCAACAAAAGTTCAATTGCAGCTAAATTTGATAGTGAGTGATCTACTCATCTACTCTCAACTAAGATTCTCTTTCGTGTTGTGTGCATAGTATATTCTTGCTCTGCGATTATGTTTCTCTAACATTTTGCATTTTCAGTATGCTAGCAACTATGGAAGTTTTTATGAATATTTAATGTCGGAAAACTTTTCCTTTTGTCAGTAATGATTGATTATAGTTATGAGACTTCGATCAGTATTAGTAGCAAATGGTTTGTTTTTGGAATCTCATTATTACTCCTTATTGCGGTTACTAAAAATAATTGGTCCACAATGCTTGTCCTTTTAAAAAATCAAGATATAATTAATTAATTTTTTCTCATCTCATTCTTAGTATTAATTGTTCTTGAAAATAAAAATATTTATTAGATAGTTTAAAAAATTTAAATGCGAAGAGTAAATAAGGGTATAATAATCAAAGAACTCTTCTTACAAATAGCTTCTTAAGGGGCGTATAAAAAAGAAACATAACAACTAAAGAAGGAGTAGTAGATGTCTCTTAATTATGTATGTGTATCAAGGAAATGCCGGTAATTGTTTCTAAGAAAATATGTACTCCCTCCGATTCACTTTAATTGATTTTTTTTGGTTTTTTCACATATTAAAAAGTTCATCATTTAACATTAATTAACAATGAAAATGATCATGTTAACCTTTATTATTTCTTTAATTTGTTCATTGAAAACATAACAGATACTCCAAGACTCTTTACAGAGCAAATTTAAAAATAAGAAGTTAATTCCTTCTTGATATTTAAGCAAATTAAAATATTGTGAACCACAAAAAAAGATTAAAAATCAATAAAAGTGGACCGGAGGGAGTACATTTTAGCCAAGGTTAAAGTGAGGCTAACTGGAATATAATAAATTAAAAAAAGAATCATTAGCACGGTTTATGGCGTGGAAAAATTGGATAATTATTTCTAACACCTCATGTATAGCCACGGTTCCTGTGTGACAAATTTCAAATTTCGAATTTGTTCATAAATGATAATAATAACAACCTTGACTAAAAATATCTTGCCTCACTCGACAAAATTGTGACTTGTTAAAAATAATATTAAGAGTGAATGTCCATGTATTATAAAATTACTTGGGAGCAAGTTAGTTAACAATAAACTAGTCTAGTTACTTGATCACTAAGATTGGTTATTTGGTTGCCAAGATTTATTACTTGGCCACCAAGCAACTTTCTTATAAATAGGACACTCCTCTACTCATTTGTAAAAAATATCAAGAAAAAATCTAGTATTATCTCTCTCTAAATTCCTCTGATTTATTTTATTTCATATTATTCCATAACATGTTATCAGCACGAGACTCTACCGGCTCAAGAAGCTAATTGAGAAGACTAAGGTATAATTTTTCTCCTCTTTTAACTATGACTGATATTATAAAATGAAAGTTTATTGCACTTAAAAATTCGGGCAAGAACTATATATCATGGGTATGGATGCTGAAATCCATTTAGATGCAATGGGTCTCGGAGACGCCATTAAAGATAAAAACAAAGTATCTACCCAAGACTGTGTTAAGGCCTTGATTTTCTTGCACCATCACCTTGATGAATGGTTGAAAATAGAACATCTCACAGTCAAAGATCCACTTGTTTTGTGGAATGGCTTAAATGAAAGATATGACAACCTAAAGTTGGTCACACTTCCACAAGCACGATATGATTGGGCTAATCTGAGGCTCCAAGACTTTAAGTCTATTTCTGAATACAATTCAGTGATGTTCAGAATTACTTCTAAATTGAAGCTTTGTGGAGATAATATCACTGGCTATGATATGCTTGAAAAAACGTTCACCTCCAATATGGTCCTACAACAGTAGTATCGAGAGAAAGATTTCAAGAAGTACTCTAAGTTGATTTCTCTTTTCCTTGTGGCTGAACAAAACAATGAATTACTCATGAGAAATCACGATAATCGATCCACTGGGTCTACACCATTGCCCGAAGTGAATGAGATGTATTCCCATTATGCTAAGCATGGAAAAGGTCGTGGCCCTGTTCGTGGTCGTGACTGTGGCCAAGGAAAAAATTTTCCTGGTGTTAATCACCCCCCAAAGAAAATAACCACCAAAAGTAGAAATGGAAAGATGAGAAGTCAAAGGCAAAGGGTTCAAAAACTAAATGCTATCGTTGCGGTGGAAAAGGGCATTGGGCAAATATTTGTCGTACATCAAGATATTTGGTTGACCTTTATCAAGCATCTCTAAAGAATAAAGGCCCTGAAGCTAATTTTGCCTCTGACAATGAATTTGACATCACCTACTTGAATATGACAGACTTCTTTAAGCACCCTGATGAAAAAATAGACCACTTGATCGGTGATGGATCCGTAATTAAAGATAATTAAGTAGTTTGATTTTTATTTTTGCCTATTCATAATAGCTAGTGAATAAACATCATGTAATCACAGTTCTTTACATGAGTGGTAATCATTAATATCAAATTGTATTATTTATTTTATGAAATAATGTTAGTTCGTTTTGGTTAAATATAATTCTAGTATTCGTTTTAATAAATGTTTCAACATTTGAAATTCAAATTGAAACAACTGAACGAAGAGACAACCAAAAGCGTGACACTAGAGGGTTGTCTATTCAAGAGTTAGTTGTTAAGAGTTCAATTGTACACCCACTTTTCTCAGCTAAACCAACTGCCCAAAAGCCATTTTTCTCATTTTGGAATTTTCTGGAATTTTCCTNATATATATATGTTTAAAATTTCTAGAAAAGGATAGTGGACCGTTTTAAGCTGTACATCATGATTCATATGAAAGTTAGGAAATGTTTTATAGTTGAGTTCAACTTCTTCATTGATTGTTTTTGAGTCACTAAAAGAATAATTATGTATAACCGTTTGTAATAGATAGAACGAGTACTCCGAAAAATAAATCGAATTGTTTGTATCATAATCAGATGCGAAAAGTGAGACTTAGATGGTTCGCGCACGTACGGAGGAGAAGCCTAGATGTCCTGGTTAGGAGGTGTGAGCGGTTGATTTTGGCAGGCACGAGAAGAGGTAGAGGGCAGCCGAAGAAGTATTGGGGCGAGGTGATCAGGCAGGACATGGAGCGACTTCAGATTTTTGAGGACATGACTCTTGATAGGAACGTGTGGAGGTCGATCATTAGGGTTGTAGGCTAGGAGGTAGTCGAACATTTTTTCCTCTTTGTACCGATTAATCTGATAGAGTTTTGTCTAAGGACTGCTAGCGGTTTATGCTGTGTTCACATTATTTTTTTTTGTTTTGTTTTGCATAGTATTGTGTTGTTGCCCTTCCACTTATTTACTGTCTCTTACGACACTGTTATTATTTTTTTGGTTTCTTTTGTTGTTACAGATCTATTCTTTTATTTTTTTATGATATTATTGTCTCTTCTGTTGAGCCGAGGGTCTCCCGAAAATAGCCTCTCTATCCTTTCGGGGTAGGGGTAAGGTCTGCCTAAACTCGACCCTCTCCAAACCTCACTAGTAAAATTTTACTGGATTGAGTTGTTGTTGCTGTATCATAATCATAGTTTGCTCGAAATTGCATTAAAGGTCATTATTGAATCATTGGTTTAACTTTGTTTTCTTTTCATTTTTTTTTTTCTGAAAATACTAATATTTATTCGTATATTTCTTTTTGTATGTCAAACCATAGAAAGCAAATATGGATATATCACAAAGTAAACTTGTATCAAAGTTTAATTGTAAAAATATTTATTTAATTGATTCATGTACGACACATACAATATTCAAAGAGAAGAAATATTTCTATCATTTAAGTATATGTAAGGCAGATGTTACTACAATTTTGGTAGTAGCAATTTAATTGAAGATTCACGAAGAGCTCCTATAACTCTGCCCCTAGGGGAACAATATTTATCATAGATAATGCAATATTCTTCTCCAAGTTCAGGAGAAACTTGTTGAGTTTTAAAGATATCCGCCAAAATGGATATCATATTGAGATAATAGATGAGAATAACCTTGAATATCTCATCGTTACCAAGAATGTTTCTGGCCATAAAAGGGTTATTGAGAAGTTCCTATCTTTGTCTTGTGGCATGTATTAGACAAGAATGAGTGTAATTGAGGCACATTCTATCGTAAACCAAAAGATTGCTGATTTCAATATTTTTGTACTTTGGCATGATCGATTGGGATATCCTGGATCAATTATGATGAGACGAATTATAGAAAAATCAAATGGGAATCCATTAAAAAATTTAAAGATTCTTTTAAATAATGAATTTTCTTGCACTTATTATTATCAAGACAAGTTAATTATTAAACTATCACCAACAAAGATTGAGATTGAGCCCCCTGCATTTTTGGAATGTATACAAGGGAATATTTGTGGACCTATTCACTCACCTAATGGGTCGTTTAGATATTTTATGGCCTTAATAGATGCATCTTCTAGATGGTCTCAT